CTGCAGCTGCTGCATCGCAAACCAAGGCTCTGGCACCTCCACTGGGAGAACAGCAGCAAAGAAGAGAAAGGCTAATGTTCTGAAGGCTCAATATAAAGTTTTCTTTTTTGTTTTTGTTTGCTTGTTTTTTGTTTGTTTGCTTGTTTTTAACATCCTGCCTGTTCATCAGTACCTTGGATTTCTCATCTCGGTAGTTTGCTGTGGAGGAAATAGCAGGGGAGGGCAAAGAAGGCTGAAATCATACCAGCTGGGTGAGCATAATGTTACACTAAATGGGTCAAACGAGACAGCAATGATTACTGGAAGGAACTGAAATGAGTGTGGGTGGCTTGCCCCTAAACCCACTGTGGGGCAACCTGAGAATGTATTTATGTTAGCGTTGCCTCTGTCCCAGCAATAAGAACTCTAAATACTTCACCTAAAAGAGCCACAGGGATTTTCTTTTGGCACTTCATATTACATAAGATATTCCAACTAGTTCATTTGATACTCCATATTTGGATCCCATTTACCCTTCTTAATGTCACTTATAGAGAGTCAATTTGCTGTCAGTGCATGCTCCATCCTCAAAGTAGCCATCATTAAAACAGCAAGGTTAGATATTCTTTTTGTGTGTATCCAGGATCATTTCATCCCTACTTCATCCTCGCACTTTTCTTTTCACTTGTGTTACTCTCTCCCTGTCTTTTACCTTTATTCTATTAGGCAAGACGGTTTCTTTTGACTTTGACCTTATGAGCCAATAAACTGCACATACATTGCATTCACTTACTTTAAGAAAACATAATCTTCTCAGTGTGAGAGACTATTTAATCAGTGTGATCTTGTTCTGTGAATCCTTTTTCATCAAATAATTGATGCTTCACACACATGTACCCTTGATTAAAAAAAAAATTAAATAGAATGTTTCTGCATTCAAACTGCTGGGAGATAAAAGGAAACTGATTAAAAAGGGATAGCTGAAATTAAACAGAAAGGGAGGGACCCTCGGGGACATGGTTAGCATATAAATGGTATAGGGAGAGAGGGGAAACTTCAGCAAAAGTTATTGGTCCAATTATTTAACTCTATTCCTTGGGCTTTAGAGGTTTCTGTTTATTGAAGCAATCACACCTTTTATCACTGACGCCAACAAGTCTGTCACGTATTATACAAGACCACTCCAGTCATTAAAAGCTTGGTAACATATTCCTTTTATGTTCTTTAGAGAAATAATGATCTTTTGCTGGAGGACAGAGGAAAACTCTTTAGGGTTACTAAAGAGTGGAATCAGTCCCTTGTCACACCCTGTGTAAATCCCAAAAGCTAATACTGGGCGTTATGGCACTTTTAAAGGTCCACTGCCAGCTTATGTTAATGATGATTTACCCTCTAGTGCATGATGTACCACAGGATCTAGCCTCTTTTGTGACTTTTGATATTTTTTAGTTTTAGGTTTCTCTACAGGATGAAACACTGGCGGTTCAACCCACACAGAATGCCTATTTATAAATTTAAAATTCCTTCACTGACTGTTTTATTCAGGACCTTTTTTTTATAATACAGTGAAACACTTTCACATCTGCTGTCACTTTTCTCATCTCATAGCTCAAAGCAGCACTCTGAGCTCACTCTTGATATAGTACATCACAGCACTTCCCAGTTTTCTCACCTTACGCACACCGTGCTGTGAAAGCCTGCATATCACACCAGGGTGTGATGATGACCCCCCCTTCAGTCACAGAAGGGCATCTTAGACTCCAGTGGTTTAGCATGCATAAACCGGTCACAGTTTGCATCACTGCCGCTTAGAAAATACTGACAATTACTTGTAAAAACAAAAAAAGAAACAAAGATTCTTTCTAGGTGAGTAAAAAGTTTGAATTATATTTGATTCTTATCACCTGTGAGTCACAAATGAAGAAGGCTTTTACTGCCAAAATGTATTTATCCCTAAGGTTTCTGGACGGCTTTGGTACCATGGTGATTTCTGTGTATGTGTGTGTTTTTCAATAAGTTGGACTTATTTAATTTAAAATGTATCACTTTAGGCTAACATTATTATAGTTTGTTTCTTACCAGTTATTACTGTTCTATCAAGGCACCTCATAACTTACACACTAGTTACCATCCACACAAAAAGTATCTACAAGCCAGTAGGTCAAATATAACCCAAAGTGCTTCCACACCTGGCACTCAGTATCATCCTCTAGTGTATTTAAGCCTAGTCCTTTTTTTTACAAGTGAAATTTTATAATGTGTTGCAGGTGGTTTGGAAGAGGGTCACACATACTCAGGTACAGTAAAGTGTGAGGTCTGCCGCTGATTAGATAATACATGGCTGTCTGTCACCGACCAGTCATTCCTTGTCTGGAAGCACTTTCACTCTTATTCATCTTTCTGAATAATTTTTCTCTAATAGTTCCCATTTTTCACTTTGAACAGCTTCTCTCTCTGGTTTATTTTGCAGTAAAGACATCAGGGGATGCTGTAAACTTGTTTTCAGTCATGAATTTCTTTCTACTCTGGCAGCAAAGACATTACAGCAGCCATTAGAAACTCCTGCATTTTCAAGCTTTTTAAGTCTGAGAGGCTTGGATAAAATGCACCGAAAACACTTGAAGGCCTAACAACACTCAAACACATTCAAGCACTCCATTAAAAAAACTTTCATTTAAAAATAAGCAATAACATGTAATTTTCTAGCCATAGATTTCCTGTGAGTTTGGCCTTTACTTATATTTGCTCCATTAGGGGTTTTTTTTTTCTGCAAAGCAATTATTAACTCTACAGTTAATAATTCATTAACTATGCTAACACTTCAAATGAATTGCCTCCTATTCCAGATGGCAAATCTGGACTATGAAAAGTCCCTGTAGCTTATGTACTGTAAAAGGAGCATTAAACTGCTGGAGGTATATAATACATTCCCTGAGCAATGCAATCAGTAGCAATGCCAGGCAACCGCAAGAAGAGAACAAGCAGCAGACAAAACACTGCTGAAAACTGAATACTTTTAGAAACAAATTGAAGATACTTACTACTTGCTTGTGTTGGAAGTTTGTGTTGTCATACATGTAATTTTAGGTGGTATAAATGGGTAAGATGTTTTGGTACTGGAAGCTGCATAGATGATGGATATAACCAACATAAAAATGCGCTTCGCCCACACTGAGAGTTATTGTGCTTTTTTGCTAAATCGTTTTTAGTTAAACACTCCAGCAGTCACTTTCACCCTTCTCCCACTACTACCAGTTTTTTTACTTCTTTGAACTGTGCATCTGTTCTGCTACATCTGTACACTTTTCGGGTTTCATTGTATCCATAGCTTTGATACTTGCTCCTCCAAACACTGAGGTAAAGCCTTTAAACGCAGAGCATGGATTCATGAAGTATATCAACCAAAATGTTGCAACAGAGTAGAATTTTGCAAATACACTTGTTTACCATCATACCTCATAAGACCAAAAGATCAATACCGACATGATCCACATTTAGCATAGCTTGGAACAGAGACACAAGGGAAAACAGCCTGCCCTCTGTCAAAATCAAACAAAACATGGACTTATTTTTAGAGTAACATTCATTGTTTGTTTTTGTTGGTTTGTTTGTTTTTATAATAAATAGTGCAAAAGATTCAACAAACATCAATGTAAACATATCCAGTAAGGATCACATTTCATTCTGTGGCCTTTGGTGAACAGTGTAGGAGGACCTAACAATATGATACAGTTCGAAGGCTGTGCACCAAGAACTACTCAGCTTTGTCATTCTCTGTCATTCGCCGCATACAAACAAACACCAACAAATCAAATCCAACTAAGGGATTGAGTACTGTAACTCTTTCATTCATTCATGATTAAGCCATTTAATACATGTCAATATAAAGAGCAGTGCAGTTTTAAATGTCTACAAAATCAGATCTCGCCGACAAAGCTGGAGCTGCTTTTATTTTTTTATACACACGCTGGACACACTGACCAGTGGATTCACCAGGTCACAGAAAAATGTTTTCTTTCATTAACTTTTCTCTAAATTACTACCAAAACTCACTGTAGGCTGTTATTGTTTACACCTTTTTAACACTAATTGCCATCCCTCCAACAAAGCTTTAAAGTTCAAAGTCTTTTTAAAGTCACACTGTCTCATGCAAAGCCCAGCTTTGACTGTAGATGGTTTTGAAGATGTGCTGCAGGACTCGTGCTTTTTGTAACCAATTGGTCCTTGGAATCATTACGGTTTTGCAGACTGTTTCAGCTGCAATGTGTGCAACAGGCGGTAGAACCATCTCCCTAAAGGTTGCAACACGAAGCTATAATCAGACCTTATATTGCATTCTTTTTCTTTCTTTCTTCAATGTGTCTTCTCGTGTTTGACTAGTATGTTTGTGTTTGGGTCATTCATCATCACAAGATGTGAAAGATGTGAGAAATATGTCCCTGTGAGCAGCAAAGGACCACAGAAGCATCTTGCACATATATCTGAGTAATCCAAAAAATTAAATGCAAACCACAAAGGATTATCCTCCCACTCTGTCAGATGCCTTGAACTTTGTATGTTGTTGTTGTTTTTGTGAAATTATTTTTTGTCCTGGTTTATGTTTTTGATGATTGGTTTGTATGCCAACATTAAGGCTATTTTTGTGATCACAGCACTAATTTATTCATCTAATTCCTGACCTAATGGCTCGAGAGAGTGTACAGTGATTAACATGTTTTTGTTATGTAACACCTGCTTAGTATAGTAGGGTTAAACTTATAGACTAGATTCGAGAGGAGTAAAATAAATTTAAGAGAATTGAGTGTTGAACAGCCGGCAGATTTATTACAATGTTACAGTGGTGCAATAATCCAATGTAAACAGCATAGAAAATTAACAGAAGATCAACAGAGAAGAGCGCTCTTTTGAAAATAACAACAAAATAAAATAAAATAAGTAGTCTCTTTAGACCTGACTCCTGATGAGCAGGATATTGGGAGTTCAATAGTTTCCCAGAGAAACAATCCGTATGAAGTAAGCAGTTTTTGTTCTTGCTTATCTGAAATCCTGCGATTCGAAGTAATTCAGACTGTAGCTCTACTCCTGCATCCAGAACAGCTGGCCACACTGCTTTTGGATTCGCCAAGAGTTTTCACAGGGTCTGGCTCGCCATCCATATCCAGAACCACTTCAGATCCAGGATCACAAAAAACCAGTCTGCACATACAGTACAGAGCAATAAACAAAATAGTTCTTAACAGTTTTTCTAAATAAAATGAGATCTCATAAAGTTTTCAAAATCAAGTACACTGTCGTTTTAACATTGTTCTGTCTCTATGAATTCCATTTGTATTGCTTTACAGCATTACAATCAATTGTATTTAAATACCCCTTTTTAAGGCATATGTAATCACATCATGAAATGTTTGTAACGTAACTAGTTTTAAATAACTTATTTACATGTATTAACCTATAACTGAAATGACAAAGTGCAGAAAAGGCACTGGACAACATTTATGGCTAAAAGAGAAGTGCATCCTGCATTAGTTTTGCACATTTGTGAAGATGCCCAATCAAATAGACAATAAAATAAAATACGACATTCCATTTCACACACGATTCAAGTACTCCGACTGGTTTTAGCTTTTTTTAGACAATACGGAATTCGCACTGTTGCAGTGTTTACCACATGTAAAATTAGCATAAGTTTTCCTGCTAACTTATCATCTCTAGTAACTCACCGGAATTCCCAAGAAACAAATACACGCTCTGCCTGGTTTTGGTCGAGAGTAAAACACATAAAGGCCTCTGAAAAGTACATAACTTTAAGTTAGAGACTGTTGAAAATACTTTATAACACTTATTTTATACCAAAAGACTCACTGTGTAGCTTGTTATTTGCTCTCGGTGTCTTGCTCCGTTTTGCCTAGCTTAATGCAGCAACGTGCTTTTGTTGCATTCACTGAACTACAGAAAATCAAAGTGTGTTCAAGGGGTGTCGGAAATAATATTACCAGGTAAAAACAAGAAAATACTAGTAACCATGTCTATAGGGGTTACAGTTACTCTTTTGTTATTATTATTTTAATTCTTTGTGCATGATCTTTGTGACTAGCATGCAAAGCTCTTTATATATATTTTATATTCTTTATCTTTTGCTTCCAAGGAGCCAGAGTTTATTTTAACTTTTTAAAGTGGTTTCGAGCAATAGTTCTCCAGGCCTTCTCAAGGTCTTTTGAACTTTTGTTTGTTTGTTTGCTTTTTCAATCATTTTAAGTCCAGTATCTTGTGCCTGAATATTTTCATAGGAATGTTGTTGTTTGTGTGTGTGTGTGTGTGTGTGTGTGTGTGTGTGTGTGTGTGTGTGTGTGTGTGTGTGTGTGTGTGTGTGTGTGTGTGTGTGTGTTATGCAAAACACAATTTGATAGACAACCAAATTTACATTTTATTTTTAATTTGTTCTGTTCTTAAATCCATAATAAAATGCAAAGACAGTTTCACAGGCATCAACCAGTATTTTTTTTTATCATCAATGTCATTTTCAGAGAGCTATTAGCCAAAAATATAACTTATCTTGACATTATGTGCAGTAGGTCTTAAATAATCTGGATAGTGTACAAGTTGAGGACAAAAGAAAAAGTGACTGGCCTAAAAACTATCTATAGCAGATAAACAGTATCTGAATATCATGTCCTTAAGAAATATGGAAAAATCCAGGACCTAAGAGATGCATCTGGCCTTGATCATCAAGCCTCATCAGAAAATGTCTCAGTGTAAAGGTAAACATCAGGATGCCATTTTTAAGAAAAAGAAACAGAGAGAATAGATTACACTAAAACTAGACTGAAAATCAGTGGTAACAGGTCCAGAGGTGTTGGAGATCTTAGCAAAATGAATGGGATTATGAATGCAGAAGAGTAGAGTCAGAGTTTGATCCACCTTGCAGTATAATCTGGAAGCGGTCTGACTGGCATTGACACACTGCCAATTCAGTAAAAGGAAAGAAAAACACACGCTATCAGTCATAGATTGGCCTCTCCATTATTGATCTTACTGAAGTACTGTGGGATCATCCTGAAAGAAAAGAACTTTGAATGTCCTTCAAGAAACCTGAAAACTATTCCTGACGACTTTTTACAACGAATTACAAGAACCCTCCATGCTTTAATGAAGGTCGTACCAAATATTGACTTTCAAGCTTGATACAATTGTACAAACTATCTTTGCAGATGTTTCAATGAATCACTGCAGCTATTTTCCACAAAACATTTTCACTTTCAAAAAGTATTAAGAACTGCAGGGTGGCTAAAGACTTTTGTATATTAACCCATCAACCCAGTCCCATTGATTGTTTTGTCTAAAACTTGCTTTTTTTTTTCCCTTCTCACTTCCATCATGAAGTTAGGTTAGAGGAGAACCACTGCCCCACCATTCACTGTCACTTGAAAGCCGCAATGTGTTATTGAGGACACACAAAGGACAAACATCAACACTAAGGTCTCAACTTGTCAGCAGTAGCTGTGCTGCATCATTAAGGGACATAGAAAAAGAGACAGGAACATTAGGGCATACAGGTTACATATAAAGGTAATTGAAAAGGTGATTCTTCCCTCCTTGGATAACTAAAAATAAAGTCAATAAAGACAAAAAACTAAGTAGGCATATTGACAAAATTGAATATTAAAAAAAATAATTTTGTTAAATTCTAAATACAGTATTCACATTTCTCACAAGATTATCAAAATTTTTGTTAATTCACTGAAGTTTGCAGGTGTATTTCTTAACCTCAGTTCATCTTTATAAAACCCTGCGTGTGGTGTTTAATTATTATCTGATAAAAATCAAATATGCAAAAGTTGTTAGCAATTTTGGCAAAATATTTGTTCTCCATCCAAACCTCAATAGAAGCCAAAATATTTCTGGACAACCAAAATATTTCTAAAATTATATATTTACACTGAAGAAGGTAAGCTGTGATATTTGTGCACAAAAATGCTAAATTACATTGAAAAATAATTATCAATGTTATTGATCAACCATTTATGAAATAGGTTAACTGACTTGTTTGTTTTTTGTTTTTGTTTTTTTAGTTCTAAATGTCAGGGCAACGATAATGTTGATTTATCCCTCTGCTTCACCATAATTCAGCTGCTTGATTTTCACTGACTGGACATGGAGCAATGTCAAGCAAAACACCACCACCAACATCACCAGCAACAACCACTGGCTGATGAATGACTGCTGAGATGGAGACGGGGATCGAAGGGATTGATCTGCACCCTGCTATCTCATCCCTGTTTTTACCCTCTGTCAAATAGGTGCCAAGGGGAGATGGATTCTGTCTGCCGAAGGAGTGGATTAATGGCAGTGGTAGAGGAGGGTCTGGCTGCACCCTGGAACCAGCTGAGTGGTGCGCTCCTCTGGGCAGAATAGAGGCAGCAGAGGTAGTATTGACTCTAGGAGAGGAGAAGGTGCCAGTGCCCCCAGATAGAGTGGAGGGAGGATTTGGTGAGGTGAAGTTCTCTCCAGCCTAATTCAGGCACTATAACAGACACAAAAATGCTGTAAAGGTATCATGTTTAACCCACGATTGAAACCACCCCATTAGAATAGCTCTTTAAAGCGTAATAATGGATGGTAGGAAGGTTCAACCTCTCATTCACCTTTATTCAGTCTTCCTGCTCTGCGAATTGACTTGCCAAGGTAATGAATATGCATGTATGCGCAGATTATGTTCACAAGTTCAACATAGAGAATATGAATTGCCAATTGAACTGAGTTAATGACACAAACATAACCCTTTGTTCAATTTCCATTGACTTATTGGGTGCTTAATTAATTGTCTGGCTTGAAATTGCAATGGATATTTTTAGTGCATGGAGATGTATTCTGTAAACATAGATTACATTACTCTAATTGAGGGAATAGAAAATATGTCTAAATCACTCCTAATATCACATCAGTGCTAATGGCAAAACAAATGGAGCAAGCTCATTCATCTTTGCCAACAATTACTCAATTAACTGTAATATGATGCGTTTAATGTTGAAGTGGTCACACTTGATTGGTATTCGTAAACTTTGAAGGTCACAGTCCAGGAACTTGACTTGAGTGGAAAGGGTGTTATGGATTCACTTGCTGGGTGGAAGGCCCCGAGTGTGGCGATGAGGGAGGCCTGAGAAGTTCAGTATGCTACCAGCATCCATCTTTCCCTCTCTCACTTTCAGCACATCTCTCCTGTGAAACATCACTGACAATTTCTCAATGCAGCAGAAGTGCTAATGCTTTTTTTTCTTTCTTTTTTTTTTTTTATAAAAGATGCTCAGCAAGACAACAGGGCGTGCCCTGTCTCAGATTAATGAGTACTCAAATGCAAGCAGACAGCAGTGGAATTAACAACCTCATCTCCCTCCATCTCTACTTCTTTTCCTCTGTCTGTTTTTTGTGTGTGAGTGTTTTCTCAAGACTCTACTGACTAATTAAAGGAATTGCATCACGAAATGTATGCTTCCTTTTTATCACCCCTTAGTCCTTCACCACTGAGAAAACAGAAGAGTGATTACCAATCCTTGTCTCAGTGCTGCACTTATGACAAGGCATCCTTCTTGGTGTTTGGTGTGTTAAGACCTTTGCAGGGTTTTTCACACATCAGACATATTAAAATTAAGAAAGTGTGAAAAACTTTGAATTATATCTCGCAGTGTTTCGCAGATGGAAATGAGAGGAAACAGCTGGAGGCAGACATCAGGGTCAAAGCAACATCTACAGTAAAAGGTGAGATATCACCTCTACAGTTCAATAAATCAAATCAAGTTATATTATAACATACGTGTAACTCTTATGAAAAGCTCTTATGAAACAGCAATATAGGAAGAAGGGCACGGGTGATATGATTCTTGTTAAATGGCAGTTAAATGACGCATGACAGTTTCTGATTCACAGATACAGAAATAGGCCAGAAGCAGCGACTTCACAAGTACACAAGGTGCGAGGAGCACAGAATCTGTGACTTTAACCTTGGGCTTTTCTAAAGGCATCATCTACAGTATGCAAATATGATAACTCTAATATCAAACTTGTAAAACTTTTTTATTTTTACTTCAAAAAATTAAAACCATGAAAAGACAAAGAATAACAATGTAATTAGTCAATTTTTAATGCTTGTGTAATGTTATGTGCACATTGAGAATTTTAGCAACTCCTAGTGGTTAGCTTGGAGACTGCGGTCAAGTTAATTTTTCTGTGGCTTGGCTTGTATTCCTTCCTATTGGATGTTTAGAGTCACATGAGTGGGGTAATGCAGGAAGCCATTTTAGTATTGGGATTTGCGCAATGAGGCGTACCAGAAGTCTCCCTGTTTAATCCTTCAGCATCCGCCTGTGTTATGCCATGGAGAAGCTTTGTTTTTCTGGGAAAGCACTGTAAGATGTACATTGACGAAGACAAACAAGTAAACAGCCCTCAACTTTACTTTCACGTCTGACTCATCATTCAACGCTTGCAGTGCCTACGGCATATGTTTATCACACCAGGGATAATACAGCAAGTCTGGATAGCAGAGACCGCTACCTCTCATTAATCTTCCCGCCTCCTTTAGTTGTACCTTACATGCCAAATAGTCATCATGGACAATAAGCCAGATACAGAAGATCAACAGAAGACTAGATCTCCAGGAACATCTGTGAAGTCATATGTGACCAGATCTGTTGCTAGTTCTTCTAACAGCTCCTGCAAGTCTTCAGCAAGCCTAGCAGCTGCTAAAGCACGCGCAAGAGCTGAAGCAGTGTGTGCTCACTCCACCAATAAAGAAACTGAACTCATGGTGGGAAAAGCCCAGTTGAGAGTAGAAGAAGCACGCATGGAGGCTGCTCTGGCCACACTGAAGCAAGAGAAAGACGTTGCAGCAGCTTTAGCTGAGGCAGAGGTTTTGGAATCAGCTGGAGCAGAACTCGGCTCTGAACAAGATCTCAGTGCAGTGGCAGGGCAGTCCAGAATGCACTCTAGTCACCTGTCGTTACCCGGCCTTGAGTCCCACAT